ATGCGGTAAAATTTGTGCGTGAAAAAATAGTCTCGTCAATTATGCCGGCATTTTGCGCGCGCAGTTGGCCAGCGTCACAGGCGTACCTATTTGTTCACGCACAAATTTTACCGCATCTCGCCTTCAGTGCAAGCACACTATGTTAAGCAGAGAATCTACTCGACTGTACAACACTTTGAAAGCTAGCGTAACTTTTGAAAAAGTACAGAAATGAGTTAAGTAAAGCTTTAACGTACCTTTGTGATTTCGTTCATGAAGAATTCTTGGCAACTCTCCAGCTCCATGCTCCACGTCCGTATCCGGTAATTTAGCATATCGTCGTAAGGCGTAAACTCGATGAAGAGTTTGAACTTGGTTTGCACCTAAGAACAGAACTAAGATCTACAACTAGGCGTAAGCCTGAAGTGCATGATGATGCCAGAAGATTCAAGAAAACTTAGTTCGCATCGATTGAACTAGGCGAACGATGTGATTTACAGGAAGAAATAAAGGCAAATTCCGTTGAGCAAGGTGAGATTTAGGAAAGAAGGCCGGCATACTCCACGCGATTCGTCGCGACGCGATTTGGCAATATTTCAACTGTCCATAGCTCATTATAGGCACATTTTAAATGTATAGATGATGCGAATTTTGACAATTCGCGTAGGTTACACACACTATACACGTCTAGTTGCTAGTGTTGGATACGAAGGCTTCTGGCAAATTGCCAATTCGTGTCGCGACTGAAATCGCGTAAAGTATGCCCGGCCCCAAAAACTGCGCACGCTCTTCCACAAAAATATCAAAGCATACTAACCTCAGCATTGGGAATGTCATGCTTAGTGACCTGGAGCATGTCTTGATTCTCATAATGTATAAACCCAGAAGGTGTTGGAGACTCGCGAGATTGTCCACGTATAACAAAATACATTTCTCGAATCTTGCTTTCAAAGAAAGAGCGGAAAAAGCGAGGTATAAGTTGCCGACCCAACACTAAAATCGAAACATAAGTTCACAAACTCGGAAGTTTGGACGAATGCATACCGTATTTCTCCGAATGAGGACTGTGTTCATCTGCTATATTTATCCATAATTTCGCATCATCGTCGAAAAACTCGTGGGAAAATGCATCCCACCACTGAGCAAAGTCTTTCTCGCAAATCTGTAATTCAAATTGTTCGAAGGGAGTGTATGAACAAGAAAGAACTTTCTTTAGCAGTTCACATAAACTTGATCAAATCATGTTTTTTTTGCGAATAATCGCAGATCATTTTGAAAAGCAGCAACTATAATAAAATAATAATACCAGTGTGCTATGCAGTAACAAAGCACGAGCTTGCATATGCAATTGATGACCGGTAAAAAAATGTTCCAGAAAATAGTAAAATGTAAATCAAAATAAGCTCAAACTCTCAGGACAAGAGAAAACGTACCCCGGATGAGTTAAATATATACAGGCGACGATTCATTTCGTGTATGCGAAATTCCAGTGGGCTTGGAACAGCATTCATAGGTTGAGGTTGTCCAGGAGCAGACATTTGTGCACCGGCTTGTGAAGGAGGAGCCATTTGCCGCATACTGAAACAAGATAACTTGTAGCTGATTGTAAGCTAAGAAACTCCATCAAAATCAAAATTCTTACTAGAACTAGAACTTACTAGAACTTTGTAAAAAATAAAAGTTGTACCCCAATAAATGATATAAAAGTTGTACCCCAATAAATGAACTTTTTTGAGATAAAAACGATAATTTCTCACTTGCTGTCACGATTTTCATTGCACTATATGAAAACCCTTGATGCCGACAAGTCACACCTACATAAAACCTATAATGCGATTGTGTAAGAATAACTGTCTTGTAACTACTAAACAGTGGTCTGCAAATCGGCGACATAAACTAAGTCGTTGCAAATCATCTGCACATCATGCACCTGACCATGCTCATTTATGCAGACCAAAATTACCAGCTAGCTTTCTCAAACCTCTTTAATATCAAATCTGAGATATTATGTTACCATAAGATACCCATGTGTAGGGGTTTTTCTTTTAGACCACCAAAACTACAACTTCATTTTTTGAACTCGCACTCCAATTAGAACACACAGTGTGCAAAAGTACAGTATTTCCTTTGTCGTGGCCGTTAAGCTCACTAGTATTCGATGAAAGAAATACATTTATAATAAAACATAACGGGTGAGGACTACATTCATATTGCCTACCTATTCAAGTCTTTACTTTTCATCATGCATAGGTTTGCCGCACTACACACTGCATTGAATTTGGTATATAAGAGATAACTTTAAGAGTTCATTCTTCAGTGCGCCAAAAAATTGAGAATTATCCACAGAAAGAGAATCACCTTTCTCTTTATCTTTTCTGGTTGAAATTCCCTTGATATATCAAAATTACCAACAAAATATGAAAAATACAAAAAAATGCTTCAGATCAGTGCGGCAGCAGCACGATTTTCCAATAATAACGATAAGAAGTTATGACAATTTTTACTGATAACTAACTACAAAACTCCGCTTCGTTCCTATCCTTAGACGGAGTAAAAGTATTCATAAATCTTCACCAGTACTCCATAAGGAAGGGAGGTTTGTGAAACCTCTTTTTTGAGTACTCAGACCTAAGTTTTTAGGAGTAAAAAGTGTACTGCCTAGATCAATGTAAAATTTTGAAGACTAGTAAATCAACAACATCTCAACTTTTCCGAAGCATGAATATCAAAAATCCAAGATAGCTGGTGTGGTGCTAGAATAGCTGCTTTGAAACTATCCGCTTCATTTTCTTATGATCAGTGCCTGATCTTAATGAATGAAGCAATTTTTTCAATATCAGTGGCTAGCCAAAAGGTCGAACCTTCCATGGAGAATTTACTTAACTTCTGACACTTTCCAAAAACTCTTGTGCACTAGCTCAGTGATAGACACATTTGGTGTTGACAATCATATGTTCGGTGCAAACCATAAATAGAACACGTCGCTGTTTTGAGTGCTGTTTGGCCACAGAATTCATAGATATCGCGCAAAATCCACAATATCGTTCAGAAAGTTTGCACGGGTTTGCGGTTCAGCGTTTCAAAATCTAATATTTTGTAAAAGTGCATTCAAGTGAACACCTCCCACAATAGCGCAGCTCTTTGGCAACATTCGACATTATCAACAATCGTATGCGAGCAAAGCCATCGCTGAAAAACACAAAACTCTGAACTTTTTTTGGATTTTGCTGCGTTGGAATATGCCTGTAGAAAATGGGTCGCGAAATCTTTGGAAATTACTTACATGGATTATAAAATTGTGCAAGTGACTCAATTATACTTGTAAATAATTAAAATGATTTTTTCAATTTTTTAGAAATTCAAATTATCTTTGTGAAGAAAATTTTTTCGAGAGCATGGCTGACGCCACGCACCTTTATTCGAGAGAAATTTTTGC